CATCTTCATTAGAATAGAAAAGAAAACAAGTTGATGTTTGAAGATCAGGACCCAAGAAGTTGTTTTGTTTGATAATGAAAATCTGACCTTCAACTTCTATTATTCTTTGAGTTAAGACACCAAAATATATTATGAAATATGAAACCCAAGGCTGACAGACCACCCATATCACATGTCTGAGTTAACGAATGTGACATGAGAACACTCACCGAGCTATCTGGATTGGCAAATATTACATACTTTAAATGCATGGGGAAATTTTCAATTTTGACATATATGGGGCTGCCCCAAATCTGAATGAATATATGGAGCTGCCCCAAATCTGAATGAATCCTCGTTTCATGCACTGAAAATAAAAGCATCTCTCTCCTACTCTTCGTGAGTGCCCCTTCCCTTACTAAGCCCTTTGGGGTTACAACTAAAAAAAATCCATTTTCATGATTTTAATTTTTATTTAATTTAAGGTAGAGGAAAGTACCAGTTATCCTAGCTCAGTAATCTAATGGAGTGTACAATCAGGGTCCATCTGGCTGGTCCCAGAGTGGCTGAGTGCAATGGCTTCCTGCCAAGAGAGGTACGGAGGATCACTTTGCATCTCCCAGTGAGGATACGGAAAACAGATCAGCACAGTTGCTGTGGTTTTCATGACATCAAGGGGCCACTTGGCACCACCAGCCTTGCCCTTTCCTTTTTCATGTGTATTCCCAAATTTAACAGTGATGAGGTTCAGGATGCACTACCCCAAAACAGGGCAACCTGACATATTGAATATATTTAACTAACAGAACTTGAGACATGACAGGTGCAGGAAAGACTTTGACCTTCCCCTGAAGCAGGTCATAAGACCTTCATATGAGAGGTGCCCCTGTATCTAGAGGAAAGGGTCATCCTTGTCACTGAAGATGGAGGGACACCAAGAGGAATCTCAATAAACAGGCCACACAAAGCTTCCCCTGTTTATTCCTCTTAGCTCATATCCTTTCTGTCCTATCCCATTTTTTTTCCCCACAATTCTCCATTCTTCATCAAATCTAGTATAAAAACTCTCAGATTTAACTATTTCTTTGGGTCTTCATTTACCTACGAAGGCTCTTATGTTACATAAAACTTATCAAACAAATCTTTTTTCTGTTCTCTTGTTAATCTGTCTTTTGTTACAGAGACCCAGCTAATTATGAAATAGGATAGGAGGGAAAAATAATTTTTCTTTCCTACAGTGTCAAGAATTGCTTTTCATATCTTATCATAAGCCTCAAGACCATGTGGGGAGGAAGAGGGCGAATGCGGAGAGATTCGTGAATGGCAGAGGGGACTTAGGGTCAGCTCCCTTAATCAAGAAGAAATTGATGCTGGCCCAATCTGTTCCCATCCCAAAGGGTATTTCTGCAAATTGGAAGGTGGGACCAGGTGGGGATGAGAGGGTCGGAGAGGTAATGTAACAGGCACCAATACAGCAATAGGTGGGTGTTTCGATGTGTCACTCGTGGGATGTTATTACTTCATTTACTTAATTAAAGGAATAGTTTTAAAAATTAACATTTTTTGAGACATTGTGTGGTTAGGTACCCAGTCCCTCCAAAACCCCTTCATGCTTCAGACTTACAAATTTAATCTATTTTTTTTTAAAGCAAGACTTCCTCAAAACATTATATCACTGGTATACCGCCATACATGCTTATGCCTTCAGTAAAGATAGAAACTTTGTAGTGGCCACTCCTTACATAACTAGCTGGATAGTTAAAGATCATTGCTAAATTACTCCTTAGCTTTATCCAGATGAGGTAAAAAGATTCTTTTTAGCTTTTCTCATGGGCGTTTTTTCTTTTAGTCTGTTAGTAATATTTACATCACTTTTTAAATATCTCCATGGTCCTTTTAAATTGGGAAACCCATAAATATCCTATATTGTGACAACAGTTTCAGAAATGCTAAAGAAATGGAAGAATTACTTTAGAATATCTCAGCAAAGGCTTCTTGCTGATGAATCTGTGTCATACAAAAAAGCTGACTCAGGCTGTATTTTCTATTTTTTTTAGATTTCAATCTGTTAAAATGGCATTTGGCATTATATCAAGGAGCTCATGGGATATCATAAGTGCATAATCAATGATAAATGCACATTGATGATTGAGATTTGAGAGTTAGCAATCAATATAACTCTATATTCCTGGCTTTCAAAAGTTTAATTCAAGCATATTTAATTAGATTTCTATGAAAAATTCAATTTTTAAGAAGCTTGCTTTTCAAAACCAGGTATCTCCAATAACACATTTTTATCTAGGAAAATATGTTATAGAAATAGGATTTTTCTTCTGTTACGCCTTTAGACTGTATGTTTTTTGCTTACCCTGCTCAGGCACCTGGGTTAACTAGTCTTTTCTCTCGGAGTCGAATTTTAAAATAACTTTTCATGAAAGAACCTTGATGAAAGTTCTTATAGCATGAGGATATGATAGAAATGCAAAAGAAGATTTTAGAAGAGTGCCTTAAATCTGGATTTCTCTTGATGCAGAAGGTAAAAAGATTTGGGAATCTTGAATTATCTGGTGAAACAAAAGTAAAGCTTGACTTTTTCTGCTTTAATTTTTTTCCCAAGCTTTTGATGTTCGTGTGAATTCCCTGGTAAGGTCAAAGTGTATTGATTTGCCTACAAAGCAAAAATTTAAATCAGGTTATGCAAAATAGTAGCAGAAAGGAGGAGAGATAGATTGATGAGTTATTTTTATCTCAAGTTCTCTTTTATCTACTTCAGTTATAGGAATACATTAATTTCAAATTAAGACAAAATGGATTTGAGAAAAAATAAAAGAACCAACTGGAGATAATTAATGTAAAAGTCCTTAGAAAAGATAAGTGCACGTGTGTTGATTAATGTGAATAGATGTTATTTATTCAGTTAGAAAAATAGAGAAACACACTTATGTATTGAGTACATTATAGGCCAGGAATGGTATGTTTTATAAGCTGGCATTTAATCTATGTAAGGCCTCAGGAAGTAGATGTTATATTCTCCATTTCATTGATGAGAAAACTAAGATATTGAAAAATGTTACATCTCTGGGGCAGGCATGAAGAATTACATATGGAGGGTATAAATAAAACGAGATTGGTCCAAAAGTAATAATCGTTGAAGTTGAGTGATGGGCACGTAAGGCTTTATTACATATTCTTCCAAGTTTTAAAAATGTATTTGCAATTTTCCAAAACGAAAAGTTTTTAAAAAGTCACTAATAAACTTGAAGATTCAAATCCCTATTTTGCTAATTTCAAGCCTGTAGTCTCTCCATCACATTATACATTTAATGATTTCTAAAAAACTGGAAAGCAAATCACAAGCTGGATAATAAATCAGCAATTCAAATTTTATTTCAGAAAGCAACAATGGCTTGTTTTATGATCTCAAAAAGTATTGACTCTATGTGCCTCTTAGTGTTAATATTTATTAAATAAAGATATCCTTCCTCCTATTGAACAAGTGTGAGATTCAAATAGATGATTTGGATGTCCTGGTGTTATTTCATTTAATTGTGTTTTCCAAAATAATTTTGTTTTATCTTTTGGTTTTGCAAAAAGATAGCTCAATATTCTAAATGTTTTGTATTGAATATTTTTGGAGATATGTACGATAGATCATTTTGTCCATGAGACTGAATGAGTTTCCGGAATTTATGAACTAAGCTTTAATAAGATTGACCCTTAGCCAGGGCAATGAGAACCACTTACACTGGAATGACCTTATGGCTCCATCTTAGGTAGTTCTCGCATTCTTTTTCCTGTTTAATGAAAAGGTTTCTTAAGAAATAGAATGTATCTTAATGCGCTACATTTGTATTTCTCAATATAGATTTTGTTAAATGAAAGAATCCAGAAACAAAAAGCTATAAACATTTGATTCCCTTTATATGACTTTCTAAAATGACAAAGCTAAAGGGACAGAAACCAATCAGCAGTTCCTGGGGAACAAGGGTGGAGAGAGGAGTTGACTACACAGTGGCATGGGGCACTGTTTGGGGTAAATAAAACCAAAATGTTCTTTATCTTCATTGTGGTGGTGGCGGCTATGTAACTATATTTTTGTCCAAATTGATAGAGCTGTACATAAATTTATTTATGTGTAAATTTGTAATATGTAAATAATATATCAGTCAATCTGATTAAATAATATAGGTATGTATAGACATAGTTTATGAATATGCCTCTGTGTCAGGGCGGACACAGAAGCGACACACTTACCAGAATGTCGACCGGAAGTCCCAGGCCTCGTTTGTCAACCACAGTCACCATCATGACAGTCTGGATCACCGAAGCAACGAAAGTGTTGATTCCGAACACCAGGGCATAGCGTTCCACGCTGAGATCAATGGCAATCTGAAATCTAACACTGTCCAAATGGAAAGGGTTTTGAAAGAACACATAGGTGAGATTCTCAGTACAGAGCAGTGACTTGTCCCCAAGACTGCTCTGCTCACCACGCTCTCGTTAACAAAGCTCTTCGAGCAGAGAAATAGGAAAGGAGGGTAAATGCAATAGTGAAATGCTGTATTTTATCATTCCCTGGGATGTAATATATTATAAGAATTTAACACTGCTTAAGCTTTTCTAAAATTAAACCAAATATTCCAAGTATTCTGCAACTAGAGAATATTAACTGTTGTTTGATATAAATATGGTTTAGCATCCACTTTTTAAATTAGACACACGATGAGTGAAAACAGGTCAACTCGATGAATTTTTACTTACTTGGAGATTGTTCATTGGCACATTGATTGTCTATATTAGCAGTTTCAGAGCCTCATAGGTGAATTTTTCTCTGGAAAATTCAAATTATTTCCTTTCGTGTTTGATTCAATCTGGCAATCAATTCATTTTAGATAGTTGTACTGGCTTTTTTAATTTAGTCAGGCAAGACTACCGTATATGCATGAAAATTCTTCCACACAGTTTAGTTAAAACCTTTGTAACTTGAATCTGTTTAAAAATATGAAACTGAAAGACAAGTTTGAACTATTTTTACATCCCTCCCCAAATCTTCACATTAAAAAACAAATACAAGCATTTAAAAATTATGTGACTCAATGAAAATGTATTATTTCAGTGCAAAAAAATTACTAATTAAATATAACAAAACCCATGACTATCCCGAGGTCCCACAGAATGAACGTTAACAGGCAGACCTTGTAATTCCAGGTGGTACTTCTTCAGCTAACAATTCTTTCCCTTTCACAAATGTTCTCCTGGACTGATGCTTTTGAAATCTAGATTAAATCAAATGGCAGTTGCCTTTTTATTATGCAAATTATTCCAGGCTGGAATCTTGATTTATCCTGTACCGATGCTTAAACAGCTTGTCAGTGATTACTTAGTTTTGGGTAACGGCTGTATATATGGTGGGTTCAAATGAAAACACAGTTCTGATGTCAGGCCGACAGTGACATTGAATCCTAAGATTTTTTTTTTTTTTTTTTAAGTCTAAATACAGAAATTACTTTCCCAGATACCTAAAATTACATTTCTCAATGTCATCCACTTGGCCACTGAGAAGCCATAAAACTATCATACAGAGTACGTTGCCCTGGCTAGTAAATTCTTGGAAAAAATTGTATTTGTGTTCTTCTGTTTGGTATTTAGCACTAAATACAGGGGAGACTCTCAATATCTATAATTTCACAGATAGAAACACTTTGAAATCTTATTTGATCATTTGTGTCCCATGTATTATGGAATTATGGGACTGGCATTTTCCAGTGTACCCTATAATTTAAAGGAAAGCATTAGGAACATTTTCTAAAACATTTAAAAAAATATTAGTTCGTTTACATAAAAATAGACTGGTTAAATTTAAAAAGTTTAATAGCCCAAAGTTTTTTGTTTTTTCTAATGTATTTATTCCTTTTCTTTTTTTCTTCGAGAAATGCTAATCAAGTGCTTACTATAGAGGAAGAACCAGTAAAACACTAGGAGCATATTAATAAACAAGCACTCTAGCAGAGAATAATTGGTCCTAGGTATCTACTTTGACCAATTTTCAGTTAAATTGACCGATTTCTATATTATGAAAAAGAACCAGGAGGTAAATATTTTTTATAGAAGAAACAAATTATTTTAATATAAACTTATTATATCACACGATGGTCAAAACCACGAAACATCAATAACCTTAGAATTTCTTTTTAAACCTGAATACTAACCCTTTGCATTAGAGATCAATTAATCCTCTTTGCTAAATTTACTTAAAAATTTGCCTAGACTCTAGAATAGTAATTATATGTGAGAGAATTTATAGGGGTTGGATTAACTTATAGAGGAATGATTTTTTCCATCAGTGTTCTGAGTTGAATATG